TGTCATGAACTGGATAGTCACAAAACTAAGTCTATTACTTTCTGGATAAAAATTATAAATATTTTATTTAATCATTTAAAAATGATAAAGTTTACAAAACTTGACATCATTTTGATAAATAAATAATCAAACTATTGCTTAAATTAATTCAGTTGGATACCTAATTAAGCAATGATCTGGTTTATTTAATGACAGAAATAATATAAAGATTAATAATTACAAAAAAAAATAATTTATTTTAGTCTCAAATTTTGATTATATGTAACTATGAAAAGTATTAATTTATTTTGTTTTTTAAAAAATCTACATTACTCGTTCTAATTTCTAAAATTTATCTTATCCACTCAAACCACTATACATAGATCTGTGTCAACAGTTTATAGATGATGATATTATAAATGTTACTGTTTTTAATTATTGAATCCACTATGAGTCACAGTAACTACAAATTAATGATTTTTTGAAGATGAGAATAAAATTCAACATATGTTAAAAAGAGAATTGCATCTGGTTCCTTTTTGGAATTCAATAAGTTTTCTTTCGTGATTGTTTCTCCACTATATTTATGTAAATTGAAAACAGTTGAAAAAATACAGATGATTGACTTATGATGATTCAGATAAAATAAAAAATATAATGTTCACATTGTTCTATAATCATGAAATAATATTTGTATTGTCACTCTTCAAGTTAATGAATTTAAATTGTTTTTGAATCAGAATGAATTTGTGCATTTTGATTACTTTGATTTCTTTGAAAATACTTTGGTGTCCAAGTTATATTTGAATGTTTACTGCAAAACATTGGGCAAAGCTCTTCTACATTTTGCTTAATGTTTGAGAATACCTTGTGTCTAAGGAAGCAACTGTTACAATGCTAGACTACATATTGCAAGGAAAATAGTGCAGAAATTGCACAAGTTGAACATTGTTTTTGTCTCATCCCCATATTAGCTTGAACTTTTCCCAACAGACTATCACTTCTACTCTCTGGACAGTGTTTTGAGGGAGAAACAGGAGAAACATGTCAGACAATAAGGGGATATTGAAAATACTTTCCATGAATTTTTGGCTTTTGAAACACCAGATTTTTATGTATCTAGAATAGAAGCATTTGTATCAAATCATGTATCACATTGGCAAAAGTGAATTGAACACAGTGGTTCTTATTTTGATTAAGAGCATTGTTTAATAGTGAGTTGTGTTTTACAGTTAAAAACCAAAAATAACTCCGTAATGAATACAATAGCCAAATCCTTCTTCTTTCACCAATGCACTTAATACCAACCAAAGTCATAGGCTCTGGGATGGATTGCAACAGCATCTAGCAATATTGTGTTTTTACAGAAGGCTAGTTGAATGTTCAAAAGAGATACATAAATTTAGATGAGAATACTTATCATTATTTTAGAATTAACTACAAAAACTTGATGTTCTAAAAGTTAATTCCTCAAATTAATTGTAATATATCATATCTATGAAAAATTTTGTAACCAATTAAAAACATCTGAGATTAAAAAAACTGTTTTAAGTAAAATCTTGTGACAGTTTAGATGACAGTGAAAATTTTTCTTAGGAATTTTTCTTTGGTGAAGGTAAACTTGGCACTTTAAAGTGAAATGTAGAAAAGAATAATATGGGTAAAAATCTTGTGGGTACTGCTTCCAAGTGCCAAGTTGATCTTTACCAAAGAAAAACTCCCAAGAAAAATTTTGACTGTTGTCTAAATTGTCAAGGTTTTTATTTGGTGCAATTTTTTACATCTCAGATGTTTTTGTTTGGATATCAAATTAAAAAAAAAAATAATTTTGTTATTACATCAAGACATACAATGATGAGTACAATTCATTTGGCAGTCACTGAGTGTGAACTGAACACATCACTGACCAATGCTCTGGATATGCCGTTTAGAAAAGTCATTATAAAAAGTTTTAATATGCATAAATTTGAACTTTTGTTATTTTGAGTAATTTTTTGAATAAAAATTATTCATTTCTATCCAATTTTATAATTCTTAGCATAAAATTAAGAGATAAAACTGAAGTTGCTCTATGGGAAACCCCTATAAACTTTCACCTATCAACCTGGAAGTTTCATGAGCAACTCACTGATAATGAGAAAGGCTTAAGTTTAAAATTTGAGCTTTCTAGACCCAGTAGGTTTCTCTCTATGAGCATCTGCAATGCCAGATGAAGAAAAAAGAAAATACAGCCTTTTTTGGCAATTTTTGCACATTTTAATTGCTTAAATTTTAGCAACAGCATTTTAGAACATCTTGAAATTTTGTACACTACCTAAGAAAACAATTACCTTTTGAATGAGATATTTGGAATTATTTCAGACATTTGGGAACAGAGAAACCGACCCCTCAAAATCGGCAACTCTGGTTTCCATATATATAGTCGGTCGGTGACTTCTTTACTTGGCGGAGAGTCACTGTTGTGACTTGATCTGTTTGATATGGTCTGACCTGAAATTGATTGTTGGTAATAATCTGCTGTCTTCCTCCATATAGTATTTATGATAATTGTGTGTGGGGTTTGTTTTTACTAAATTGAAGATTTTTGTATATTGTCTGCCCTTACATGACAGTTAGTGAATAGTTCTGATGTTTATCTATATATATAAATGAGAATGCTTGTTTGGATTTTTGTTCGCTATACATGACTAGACCGTTCAAAAAATTGCTACGAAACTCGGCAGTTACATTAATATACCCCTAACTTAGGTAACGTCAGACATACCACACCAAAATATCTATTGGGGTTTTCTAAATCAATTAATTTCTATCGCCATATGATTTGCTGGTTTACATGTAATGCCATCTATTGGCAAAAAATTTAAGAAAATGTAAAGCATTTGATTTGCTGATTTACACATAACACCAATAGATGGCGCTACCTGTAAATGAGCAAATGGAACGTTTGATTCAAATATAAATCAGCAATTACATTTTCTTAAATTTTGTACGATATGTGTAAATCGCAAGAAAAATATTCTAAAATACAGTTAATAATAAAGAAAATGCCCACAAGTTCAAATTCATCTTATTTGACATTTCCTGGTAGTGTTGTCGACTGCATGGAATTATCCTGTGAAAGTGAAACTATTATCCTGTGAAAAGTCTATAAAAAATTTAATTTTTCATATCTAACAACGCAAGTTTTTTTCATTTCTAAATGGTACTTTCCGAATTATAATAAGTGCCTTCCAGTATCCGAGTGCATAAAACCACCAAACTCTGGTAGTTCGTTAGTTGGGGGTTCGAGCATTGCAAATAGGCTGGCATTTTCTGGGTTTTCTTCACATTAGTAACACCTAAATACAGTTCAGCTTTCCATAAAAGTCTTCCTGGAATGCATTTCCCTCGGGATATCGCTCATGTGTCGCATTGCCCAAACCAAATAAACCAAACTAATTCTAACAAGTGATTATTTATTGTGACATTGTCACAATGCTGGGCTGCAACTTTTCGTCACAGTGTTCTCAATTCCTTTAGTGGTGGTTGCTCTTGTACTTCATAGTTTTCCTGTTAGCGATAGTCGTGCCAGTTATGTATCTAACTCTGTTCAGGGAAAAATTTTGAGTTGATGTAATTTGCATGACTTCCAGTTGAAATTGGAAGTTCTTTTATAGTTAATCTGGGCCTCCTGCTCCTAAGTATATCTGGTCTCGACTTTTGTCTATCTAACACCTTTCTCAAGATTAAGGAAAAAAGACAGACACACAGATAGACAAGGGACATCAGGTGGAATTTATAGGTCTACAATTTTTTCAAATTGCAGCCCAGTAATTTTTCTATAAATGTGATATTTACAAGAACATACTTCCCATATAGTTTGTACAGTTTGCTGCAAAAATATAAACACTTTATTATCACATAAAAGTAATTATTATTGCATTTTTACAAGATTTTTTTTATTTAAACAAATCATAGGAAGTCTGTCGGAGGTTAAGGTTAACAACTTCGATCATGTGTACGACCGTCACAACCTATCCAACATGGATCACTTTTTAATTATTAATAGTAGACTGGTATTAATTAATAGCTGTTGACTGTTGTCTCTTCCAGGAGGAGGTCAATGTCTATTGGTCGAATTACTTCGACCTCCTCCTGCATCAGTTTCCTTTCTATTGGACAAGCGGTACGGTGGCATTCAAACAGGAAAATTATATAATACAGTTACCGGCGAGCATAAATTACGTTTTAAGTGGTTTCCGGGGGTGACGAGTTTAAATATATGATTAAATATATAGAAGGATTAGAAATATGAAATAATCTAATAATCTTAACCTTTGTCATTGTTATTTTTTGATCAGGCAGTGCTGGGCTCATCACCTAGTAATACAATATTTTAAAATCTAAATTTAAATTTTAGTTGTTAAAGGCTTATTGTAACCTCTCTTGTTTTTTTTTAACTTTTTCTGCCTGTGAGCACTAAGAGAGCCTTCTTTTTAGGAAGCCCATAATGGAGTGGCTAGCTGACAAGGGTGGGGCCTGATGTATCTGGATGGACCACCCTCCAAAAAATTCCTGGGGGTTTTTGACCCATAGGCTGACACCTTAACTGCTCAGCCATTTGGCCAAATCTGTTTAGTTATGCATGCAATCTTCTGCAGACAGTGTTAAAAACTGAGAAAATCCTTTTCCAAAAATTCTCAAATTAAGCAGATAGATCTAAACAGTTTCAATTTTTAGAATCCTATTTAATTCTTATATTAAATACGGTTTGGAATTTGTTAATTTTATATGAATGTATAAATAATAGAAAAAAAATGTATATGAATGCATATTATTTCATTTTTTCAATTTCATCTGCAGGAGATTATGTGCATAACCAGAGTTGATCAGTCCTAATCATACTAGAATATAATAATGTTTAGGAGTAAATAATGTAAAGTTATGATATGACAGAAAATTTCAAATTATAAAGGTTAATTTTGAAAATAATTTAAGTATATTATTTATTTATTTAAAATATGAAAAATTTCATATTTAAGATTCTGTTCAGCTGGCAAGACAAGGAGAGCAATCAACTTGTGATAACTTCATGTGTTGGTCGAGTCTCCTTTTGAGAATAAGAAGATTTCACATGATTGACATTGCCAGGTAGTCACATTTTTCAAAATCGGCACAATGTTTTGTTTTTAAAATCACAATTGTCACTATTAACTAAATACTGTGTGTTAATAATAATTTTGTATTGTTATGTATTCAGTTTATTTAAGTTAATGTTAACTATCTGGCAATGTTTCATGTGTTACATAGACTATTTAAGTAAGTAAAGTTTATTAATTATAATATTTATACTTTTATTTCTTTCCAGAAAAAACATGTCTCTGACTGTGCATCAAATTCTGAACGACGCCAAGCGTCTAGTGACCCGACTGCGAGACCACGATAATACTGCAGATACTATAATTGCTCAAGCACAGTCACTCAATAAGACTGTGGAAAGCATGAATGAAGTTTGTAATCAATTTTTATTTGATATTATTTTCCATTTAATAAATCATCAATTATATTAATAAATTACATATTGAATTTACTTTAGTATAATGAAGATCTGGCCGAATTAAACACATCTATTCAGCAGCGTCCCCGTTCTTCTCTGATCCTAAATATTCAGCAAGAGAACAGACACATTAGAGAACTCCAGCAGGAAAATCGTGAATTAAGAAATATGCTGGAAGAATATCAATCTGTTTTGGAACTAATCATGAGCAAATATCGTCAGCAGGTTACTAAACTCGTTCAGTCTACATCGGTCGACCGTGCTTGGGGCGAACTAGATAATTATAAGGTAGGTTGCAAAGGTGTCACATAAGCAGATATAACACATACTAAATAACCATTTTATTTAAAATTAGGAATTACAAGAACAGGCAGACAGAATTTGTGATATGGCAGCAATTATCAAACAAGCCATAGAAATAGACGATGGTAATTACGCTTACGAACAGGAACGTTTGACACAACTCCTAACGGAAAACAAAGGACTGAGAGAATTGCTGGAAATAAGTCGCACTTCAGGATCGCTAGGACGACCGTCAAATGCACCGGATACCACAGAGAAAGAAGTACAGACCGACACATGACCATTTTATTGATTGGGAGAATTGCATTTTTTCAGTGCATGAATTAATGTTACTACTGTATATTACACACTACTATACTGTATATTATACATGTTGTCATCACTACAGAAACCTGATCAGAGAAAAAAAATTTGTTGAGAAGTATTTAATAAGGCAGCAAATTACTTTTAATGAATTTATATTGTTTTAAAAATTATTTAGGAATTTAAAAGGTACAAAATGTTTTCTAAATATGCTACTTAGATAAAATATACAGTATATTACTAATTTAAAAATCAGAAGATACATATTTAATCTTTGAAAAGGAAAAATGTGATTTTTTTTTAATGTTTCTAAGTCAGTTTATTGATTTTCTTTTGGTCATTCAATAAAATATTCATTGCCATTGATATCGGCAGTTTACAACGTCATTAAAATAAAAATAAGTTTTAAATTAATGTAAATAAAATTTAAAAAATTTGAAACATCTATAAAATTTTTTATATCATCTTTAAATTCCAGTAATTATTTTTGAAGGGAAAAGGAACCAAACAATATACACTGCCATTTTGGAGGACAAATATATTGCTTTGTACAAACGTAGCCGCAAGATTTGTAAATAGGTCGCTCGTAAGAGTTTCAGGAATGATTAGCGATAATCACTTTAGTCAAATTCACTTTCACGGATTTAAATATTAGGCCCGAACAAAGGTGAGGCTGCAAAATTATTTAAATTGCATATTGCTTTCTTTAGATTTTTTGTGAATTATTGTTTTATATTGTAATATGTTTATATATATTCAAAGTTTTAGTTTGTAAATATATTGTCAATCATGTTCTTTTTTCAGTATATTTGGTGAATAAATCTGTATTTCATGATAAGTTTGAATGTTTGCAATAAAAGTTATTTAATTAAATAAAAACTTATAAATTTATATTATGTGGTATTATTCAGATGTTTATTGGTATTTATAATTTAATTTATACTTCAGATTCATTATGAGAACATTTTAGAAAAGAATAAGAATACAAAAGTGAACATTGTGGTCCAAAACTTAATGAAAATGCTTGCAGCCTGTTGATTTTGCCTTTTTCTACTATTTGTAATTTTGCCTATCTAGTTTTAGACTTGTTGCATGTCTTAGACAGTTCTTTTACAATGTAAGCAACAGAAACAAAATTTTGATGAACAAGATTAACAGTTTGTGGTCCGAGGATCGTGACAAGAATTTCAGGTATGAATATTAGGCACTAACAGAATGACAAAAGAAAGCAACTGTTTTGTCTCCATTCCTACAGATATATTTATTACAGATGATGATACAATATTATTTTGTTGCACTGTGTAAGAAAAGCTGCCACCTCTGATAAACGACTGTGTCAACTTGCTTCTAAACATAGCTTGTCAAGAAAATGCCGAAAATAAGAAATGTGTGAGACAAATATAGTTTACTAGTCGAGTACAGTCTATGAAGCACAAGGTAAATAATTCCAGTTTAATTTGGATTTAATAGCTACATTAATAGTTGCAGATATTCCAATGTGGAAACTGACGGATTTCTTCAAATGTACACTGGATGGGAATGTTATAAACAATTATTGTTCCTGACGTGACCCTAAGACCAGTGCTAATGCACTTATGCAGAGTGAGCCAAAAGTCCCCAAATCTTTGATTTTAATATTTTTTATGTTGATGTTAACATGTAATTTCTAAAATCATTGCCTTACTTACATCTTAAAAGCATGTAAAGACAATAACAATATCACTAAGCTTTTAATTAAATTAGCTTTGCAAAGGACAAATTCCAAACCTTGCCAGACCTTTCTCCTTCCTCAGACATGCTGGTTCTCTAACCAGCACCAGTTTCCTATTGGCTCTCCAATGTCATAATGCAGCATACACATGCATGTCTCACAAATCATATGAGCAATGCATAGGGAGAGTGCATAATTTCAAATAGTGCCCTCCCAGATCTCCCGATTTATCATCATCCATTTCTTCCGTTAGGATTATCTAAAGGAATAAGTTTACATGGAAAATCTGAGAGACCCGTAGTCATTGAAAAGGAACACTGCCGCTACCTTCAATAATATTTCTCAAATCATGATAAAATGTGTAGCTACAAACAGGTGCATGTATATTTGCACTTGCAGGAACATGATGGACACTTCCAAAATCATCTGTGAGTGTTTTCAAAGCCCAAGGAATCAGAAAACAGATATGATATATAAACTTTTTTATTTAAATAAAAGAAGTTTTTTCAAAAAATGGTTCTTTTCTGGGAATTTTGGCTCACTTTGTATTTCCATAAACATTATGATGCCGATTTTAGTATTCCTTCCAGTTTGGCATTTGAGACAGTTACCTGTCTGCCTCTATTCACGCAGTCCTGATATAGGATGTTACAGCTCATAAGCACGTGTCCTTAATTAGTTCTTAAATCCTTTGTGAATGTTAGACATACGTCTAACATTCATAAAGGATTTAAGGAGTAATATAAATGAGTTAATTGATAATACTATGAACAGTACAGCCAGAAATATGCTAATGTAATTGGCATTTTAGACAAATTTCACCTCAAAAACCCTGTATCAACTATAGGAATTCTAGAAAATATTGGCATGCAAGTGTTCTGTTTACTTGTGAAATGTCAACTCTGGCTTGTAGGTGGCAAAACAAATTGTTTGGTGTTGATGCAGCACAATATATGGTGGTCATTCTATTAAGGTTGTCCCCAAGTGATATATTTGATAGGTCTAGTTCATGCTCTGCAAGAGGTTGTTGAGAAGACAAAGAATCCTTATCCTGAAATGCATTACATTGTTGCAGTCATCAAGAAATTGTGTTATACATGTCAGTCATGTCAAAATTCGTTACATTACAACTACTTTTGACATTTTATGAGTTGAGTTTTTTGAACTAGAAAAGAATGGAGACCTACAGATTCAGTTTTTTGGATGTTGAGACAGGATAGTCTAAACTTAAATCTGTTGGTGGAATGGTTAACTGATCAAATTTTAATGGAAAATCCTGGGTAGAAAACATTTGGACAAGATTACAGCTCTGAATGAGGTGAGTAGGACTCTCCCAGACAAAAAGTTGGAAGACTTGACACCGGATGACCGAAAAGTCAAAAGAACCATATCTAATTGTGACTCTTAAATATTTGTCTCCAGTTTTGTTACTTCACTTCTGGTTAAGGCCAGATATATCCAAAATAGGACATCAAGTTTTTTGAGTGTGTGGTTAGGTGCCAGGAAATGACTTGTGGCAATTGGATGGTTGAAAAAATATACAATTTTTCTAGTGTGCTGAGATTATAGCCCCCTTCTGTCACTATTGTCTCCTTTCCAGATTGCCTCTGCCCATTCTCTCCTTGGACTACATTATGCAGCATTGTCATATCTTTTATAATTACAAATTACTTCTCAGCCCATCCATGGTATCATCTTAGAATTTGTTGCACCTTGACACCTCGATAATTGAATAGTGGGTCAGGTGATCAGAGCCCACCAATGGCCAAATGGATAAAACTACTAGGCATTGGTTATGGATTGGTGTCTCATCAAGGGACTGGTCGTGGTTTTTATGAGTTTGCTTCACTGTAATTATCTAATATCTAAATAGGGGCCAATTTCTCAGAAGATGCTCCTGGGAGGCATTCATATTCCTTGGCAGATAGGATAAGGCAATACAACATTTGGGCAGATTGCCCAAGTACATTGCAGTATTTTGTTAAAATCAAACTTATTGATTATGTTGGCTCCAGCTGAAGTTATATATGCCCTATTCTTGGCCAAGAACTCTTGAAAATGACAGAAAGCAATTGGTCTACAACCCAAACATACAACAAAGTTGTTGTTAAGCAGCGGGACAATCTCTTACAGCAATACAGCGAACCAAGAAATCCACATTGAAAAGTAACGTTACATGTCATTGAAGTTACTTATCTCCGAGTTCCAATGTTAAACATTAGGATTTATGGGCTTCTAATTTTGATTTCTGATTATTCCACGTAATATTAATGAAGAATATATAAAATGGAGAAATTCTTTAAGCAATCGGCAAGTGTTCACTATGTTTTAAGAAACTTTGTGATATACCAAGTTTCTTGAAACAACATAGTGAACACTTTCCTACTAAGTCCTTTCTTCAAAAAACTGTAGGATGTTGCATGTTTTTGCTATTGATTATTGAATTGCTAATGACTGCTATCAAAGTAATCAATAGCAATTCAAAATCTGAAAGTATCATTGGCAATGTTAGATGAATTTTTATTAAATTACAATGGAAACTACCTGCTTTTAGCTTTTAGTTCCATTTCATTGTTACGGCAAAACGTCCAATGTCTCGAAACATATTTTCCATCTGCCAGTGGAAAAAACAATAAAACAATTAAAAACAGAATAGGGCATTAGAGAGCATGGGGGATAATTACCGCAAATGCTAACGAAAATTTTTGAATTGAAATAACGTGGCTTCTGGTTTACATTGGAAGTTCTTATACAGTTAATCCTACCCCTAAGGTTTCCATATCTTGTCTCGTCTTTCGTCTAAATAATTCCGATCTCGAGATTAAGGAAAGACAGACGGACGACAATGGGAATTTATAGGTCTGCAATGTTTCGAATTGCAGCCCAATGATTATTGTAAGGTGTAAGCATAAGAATACTGGATATAACGAATGACACAACGAAGACAGATATATAGTATTAATTCTGGAGGATGTGTATTTCGGGCTGTATGTTCGTCATCAGTCCTCTAATTATAAAAACATTACGAAATTTAATTTATAGCTAAAAGTATATAGTTTTTTATTTTCATCTGCGATAAGGTAATAAAATTTTTAATTAATTTATTGTATTTCTTACGAGTATAAGGATTGTCAAAGTAGTATATTTACCGTTTAATTTTCTAATTCTGTATTTTTTAAAATTAATTACGGATTTTATAATTTACGTATTATCTGTGACACGTCTTATTAAAATCCAGTGGCCCCACTTATAACCATAACACGTCTAACTTCTGTCATCCAGGGGCGTATCCACAAGTTTCCAGAACGCGTTTTTGAATTTGCCACACCAAGAGGAATGTCTCAGCAGCTATTATAGTAGTGCTAGTTGTCAGTGTAGGTCTGCAACTTTTAGTTTTCCATTTATTTCTACGTGATGAAAGTAAGAAGAGAATAATTAACCAGCCATGCGTGTACAGTACATCCAACTTTCCCATCATTAGAGACACAAGTCCATACAGAATGATTACTTGTAGATAAGAGAAAGGTAAGGTGTGTTTCAAATTTATACGGACACGAAAAAATTAAAGTGAAACCCAAATTTGCTGTATTAAGTGACAAATGTTTTATTAAAAATAACATGGATTTACTTGTTTCCACACTGCAAAATAAGAATTTTAATCAAACATTAACATTTTGTCACTGAAAATAATACTTTTTTCAAATTTTGTACAAAAAAACTGTTACATATTTATCAGGACAGGCACTCATTTCATGACTTAAACAGAATATTGTTTAGTTTGAAGCATTGAAATATACAAATCAGCTTACATATCTAATTGTAATTCAAATTCTTTACGTTGTTCAACGTTCTAAAATGGGTAGAACAAAGAATTTATCTGATTATGAAAAAGAGCAGATTTGATGCCTATAAATCACAAGGCAAGTCAATAAGAGAAATTGAAGCATATATAAATCGTCCAAAATCAACTGTTGGTGATTATTTATCAAAAAGACGTGGCTAGGATGTACCAAAATTCAAGACAGGTTCAAAATCCAAGCTTATACCTCGAGATTGAAGACAAATCATTAAGGTTTGCTCCACAAAACGAACATCAGTAAGAAAAATAAAACAAGAATTAGACTTACCTTGTAGCAGCACAACAGTGTGGACAGTTTTAAATAAATCTCCAACGTTAAAATTCAGAAAAAAAGCTATAATGCCACCACTTTCATTAAAGCACAAAAGTGACAGACTTGATTGGGCACAAAAACACATGACATGGTCCGAAGAATGGATTGAAGTTTTGTTCAGTGATGAAAAAAAATTCAACTTAGATGGTCCAGACGGTTGGAAGTATTATTGGCACGATTTAAGAACCGAAAAACAAATATTTTCAAAACGCCAAATGGGTGGGGGATCAATAATGGTGTGGGGTGCGTTTGGATTCAACGGAACCACAGATTTAGCATTTATAACTCAAAGAATGAATTCAAAGAAGTATCAAGGCATGCTTGAAGATCATTTATTGGAAGCTGGACCAAATATTTGTGGACCAAATTGGATCTTTCAACAAGACAATGCCCCTGTGCATGCCTCTAAATCAACAAAAATGTGGTTTAAACGTAAAAATATTAATCTGATGACATGGCCTGCTAGAAGCCCTGACCTGAATCCGATGGAAAATCTTTGGGGGATGATGGTTCGTACAGTTTATGCCAATGGAAAGCAGTTTTCCCACAATTCATGATTCGAAGGCAGCAATTTCAGATGCTTGAATTCCTTCAGAATCTAATTGAAACAATGCCTAATCGAGTATTTAATGTAATTAAGTTAAATGCTGGTTACACTGGCCATTAAATTGTAAGAAAACTTTGCAATTTGAAACCTGTCCGGATAAATATGTAACAGTTTTTTGTACAAAATTTTAAAAAAATATTATTTTCAGTGACAAAATGTTAATGTTTGATTAAAATTCTTATTTTGCAGTGTAAACAAGTAAATCCATGTTATTTTTAATAAAACATTTGTCACTTAATACAGCAAATTTGGGGTTCATTTTAATTTTTTCGTGTCCGTATGAATTTGAAACACACCTTAGAGCAGGGGTGGCCAAAACGTGGCGCATTGGACGATTACAAGTGGCGCTTCAGTTAGTTCTGAGCAAAATTGCCAGATTTGGCTTTTTTGCGATTAAGAATATTATATAGAAAAATAAATTTTTTTTAGTCTGTCTTGGCAAGTTCATTTGTTGCACAATTCGTAACAGTCTATTTTGCAGATAAAATGAGTGTTCTCCACATAGTAAATTACAGTGTATGCACGTATTTTGAGTCTTGCGATCTTTATTTTCGATCAGTTTACAAGCGTGTAAATGGCCGAAAACATTTGTTGTGAGTAAAGTTATTCCAAGCTGATCTCGTTCTCAGTGCCAATAATTGTGGTGCAGAGTAATCTTCACCAAACGAGACTCTGGCAGCTATAGCACCATCATGAAGCAATCACCCTCTGGTACAGGAGATCATTATTGACTATTGTAAATTGGTACTTCAATAAACTGTCATAAATTAATTAATTCAACTGCGTGATTAAGTTATTCCCTTTTCTCCCCTAAGCGAAGCAGATTTACTCTTATCTCTATTTATCAACTCCTAACATTGAACATAAGACTGTATAAAAATTGTTCGAGTTACATGGCGCATCTGAACTCGTCTGTCAAAAAATTGGCGTATGGTATGCAAAAGGTTGGCCACCCCTGCCTTAGAGCCTTCACAAATCCTAAGGATAAATGTTTTGTGACAATTTATTAAGATTTCACATACTTTTTCACTCGAAACATAATTATAACAATCAAGACTCCTATAACTAACGGGACATTCCAATTTTTCAACGCGAGTGTTGAGTGTTGAAGTCAACAATTTGACGTCATCAACGACGTTCCAACTCGAGTACGAAGTGCTTAGTTCCCATAATTCCATTCTCAGTAAGATGGATTCCATTCAAATGTCCTACCAATTTCCCACAACTCATTGGAAAGTAGCACTCAACAGATATGCTTCCTTTTCGTTCAGATTCGTTCCTTTTTTCAACGGTGAGGTAGCGCTGACAACAGCGCTACCTCAACGTTGAAAAAAGGAACGAATTTTTACGATTGTTGAGATCAGCGCTGAGTCAGCGTTGAAAATTGGAATGTGCCGTAAGTATTTCTTGGTAATTATAGGCTTTACTTTAAATAAGGTATTCAAATATATAAATTTGTGTAAAAAACGATTGAAAATACTCTATAATTTAAAATATAAAAACCCTTATAATTAATTCCGAGTGAGCCAGTGTAGTTTCTTAAAACGTAACAGTTGCAACAGTCGTCAGACAGAATTGCAACAAGTTACAAGTTTTATCATGTTGTAACTTGTTGCAGTTCTCTGCATACGGCGAAAGTTTTTTGAAGATACACTGACAATTCTCGAGAACGACATACACACAATAAGAGAGAATTTAAAATTAAAAACAGTAAGTATTGTTTTTTTTATTACGCTATTATAAACGTGATATAACTGTTCTAAATTTGGAAAAAATGAAATTGACAATGTCTGGATAAAAGGAGGGGGGACTAATAGCGACTCCACTCGGTCTTTTCTAGAAACGAGTGGAAAAATGTTCTAGAACATTAGGTGTGATCCATTTTAAAAATTGAAAAAAAGGAGTACAAAATTTAAGAATGGTTATAATCGGAATAAATCTACAATTACTGGAGATAATTAATGTAGTGACGTAAGAAGTCTCTTACGCAGAATTTTTTCCACTTGGAAAATGGTTTTCGAAGTCGCGCGTGTCGAGGTTTTAACATAACGCGCTAATATGCAAATTAGTTTTGATTTGAGGATTGGTGCGAACGGATGGCGAAGAACAGTTGGATATTTGGAATTTGCGTGCGTCTCGTTTCGTTCTGAAAGCTTTTGGAGTGAAAGTTCCGAAATGGAGGTACGACGAAACAAGCGTAAGTGCGACGTTGGTGTAAGGACGAACAGGGGGAAAATTGAATTCGTATGGAGGTTTTAAATGGAAAACAAGTTTGGTGAAAACCATTGGATAAAAAGTGTCCGGCAAAATTCAACGAGAATGTAAGTCGAGCTTATTACGTTTTAGTTCTTAATTAATTAATACAGTGAACAGAATCGCCAGGTACCGAATATTTTTCCGTTTTAAATAGGTTCTTTTTTAACATTGAATCCGTGTAGGCAGGTTTCCTTTCTATTCGGTTTTACTGTACTTGTATACTATTTTTACTTTTCAATTACACCCCCGTAATGCAGATAAGTCGGATTAGCGGATTGGATTACCACTCCGGACAATCTTTTATCGAATATTCGAAATTAATTCTGACAATATTAACGCCTTCGCGTAGCCAAATTATTCCATAATTAATTATCCTTAACTAGCCCGATAACGAATCCGGCGGTTGTTTGGTATTTAAATTATTAATTATCGGGTTGGACGTATGCATTAGAATATTGTAATTGGTTTCGGAACACCCGAAATTCGTTGGAAAACGCGCATCGGGAAAGGGTAGCGCCGGATTTCGTCTGGGCGGCGAAATTTCAAAGAAAATTTTTTCCGGCACTTGAATAAATTTAGACATTAAAGTTATCCAATCAATAACGAAACGTGGCGTAATGGTGCCTTTCCTACGCGAGGAATCGTAGTGCGAGGTTTTCCTATTTTAAAAAATCCAGCAACGAGTTGTGTAACTTTTCCGGTTGTTACGAGATTGTTTAAAAATAACTTTTCTATCATTAACCAGTTGAAAGGACCGATGCCTGCCTGCATCGGGGAATACTAAATATTTATCATTGCTACGCATGCTGACTAAATAATTAATTACAAATGGACGTTCGGCAAAACACTGTTGAAAGTGAACTGCTCATAACTATCATTGCCGTGTACTAAAACTAACATACCTACATCCAATTCTCATGATAACGTACTACATGTTTCCGTTTTGATTGCAAAGAAATACCGTAATATCCCGTCTCCGGTTCAAAACATAGTTATGCTTTTTTGTTTCATTATCATCATTGTCACGCACTGTGACCCACATTACTAGATCCAATTCTTTTTAAATAACACAGCAAGCAGCATGCCTGCCGAATGCCATTAGAGTCGAGCACGGACTCTGGTAATTTGTAGGTTTGCCGCTATGTTTTGCTGGCGCTCGTTACGCCGACAGAGACTGGCCATTTTTTCAGTTTTATATAGTGGATAGATAACAATAATATATTATTATTATAAATTATTATAATTTAAATAATAGCAAGGGGCGCCCGTAATGGACGTTTTTGGCATACCGTGACAGACTGCCCAGTTTTTCAGTTTTGTATGGTAGATTGTTATAAGTTTTTGGGGCGCCATCTGTTATCTATATATATAAAAATGTGTCTGTGTGTCCTTCATGCATTACTACACCATTTATCTGATTGCCATGAAACTTTGGGAAGTTGTTTAATATACTTCCGCGAAGGTTTCTGGCATAGTACATTTATCCTATGATAGGTGGCGCGGGTGTATACGAGCATTTCAGCGCGGAGTTGAAACTTGAAATTTGGTACACAGGGTACGTCGTGAAAACGCGCACTAAGAACGGATTTTCCAAAATTCCCTTGAGGGAGGGAGAGAAAGGATTAAGGCTTAACCCGAAGAACGGCTTCTACTGTACTATTTTAGGTACTATTTTGTTTTCAACTACGTTCAGTTTTCATTGAGTACTAAGTGTTTTAAATTGATAGCATTTCAGACATTGTTATAAACATTTTTATATATTTCGATTTTTTTAAACCAAATGTTCGAACCGTTTTAAATTCGAATTTGTTATTGCATATTGGTTCGATTATAGAACGATTGTAAACGTTCCAGAAAATAGATCAAATTGAAAATAGTTCGTTTGATTCTCAGCGGTAGGGGTTATATAACAATTACTATAGTTGTTGAAATACTGAATATAAATAAGGTTTGCTTGCAAAACCCCCGCGGGCGAAGTTTCTGGTAACAGCTAGCTTGAATACAATTTCCTATTATTAGTATGAAATGGCAAAAGGCTTAACTTTGAGGGTAGTGATGAGTTTATATTTAAAAAAAAATTGGGAAACTAACAATAAGTAAATCTTCATTAAGACCAGAGACACGACTGATCACCCCTACACCTTTCACCAACAAAATAACATCGATGCCCCTTAAACATAAGCTACCGCGCCGAATTTCATTTTTTAGTCTTTACCCCAACCCCAACCCCAACCCCAGATATTCAACGGAAAACACCTCGACGCACGTACACACGTGACCGATGGACATTTATGGATTACGTCACCTTTCGTCGTTATTTCCGGGACATAACCCAGCCGTGGTGAAAGGAGAGAATTTCTTAGGCTCTTTACCCTCGCTGCTTCGCGGCTCGGGCCTCTTTTTTTTCTTTACCGAACCGCATAACCGACTGCAGTCCAGACGCCGTACAATTTTACGCGGGCGTATCGTCTCGTTCGTCGTCACTCGGCCGAAGTTCTAAGCCCTGGCGCTTTAGTTACGTAACTTCCGTTGCCGCGGCGGGAACGGAATGGCCGAATTTTGGTACGCGAGAAACTATTGGATGTGGAGGAATCTCGCAAGTTGCCGGTATAATTATTAAGGGTTGGCTCCGCACGCGCTCGTTAGTGTTTTACCAAATGCAATTTCGAATTTCTTTTCGGACACATTTCTTTAGAAGCCAACAGTCGGAACTTCGTCCGAATTTCGCATCGTCCTCGCTGTTTAAATACTACGTTTACACTACGAAAATCCAACCAATAGGAGACCGCTCCCGAAATATTAAAATTCGATGGATCTTTCGAGCCACAAAGAAAACGGCGGTACTTCCGGTTCCGTTCGACACCGCCGTTCTGTTAAATAAAAAGTGGACCGGAGCTTGGCCATTCGACTTCACGGTTTGAATTTCTAGTGTAAACGTAGTACGGAGTCATCCGGAAAGTCGCACGTGCGTGTTAAAAGACACTGACAAAGAGACTCGTACACAGTCCAAGAGGCAATTATTCATTGTTTCTATCGTACACTGCCATAATAACACCAATGGCAATAGCGAGGCTATCTGTACAGAGACGATGGAACATAATAAATCCTTTTTTTTTATATTCTCGACTCCAAGTAACACGTCATCGAATTCGACCCGGGTGGCCGACGCGGCTCCGGAAACCTGATATGCTTATCGACCGGGGGTGGCGCCACCCGCGCATTAAAAACAAACGGGAGAAAAAAAAAACAAAGAAACCGATCGATCCACCGACGTCGGAGAGTCGGAAGATCGCCCACGTCACACAATACGACTCGGGTGCCGCCCGGTCACGTGCTTTTTTATATACTACAGCCCGACGTCGGCCGAGAACAAAGGCCCGGCTGCGGTTATCTAAGCTCTGGTCGAGAAGAGGTTCGACCCGTTTCCATTATTGCTTCCTTCCTCGTCCCGGTCTTTTTTTTTGTTTTGTTTTCGCACCTACTCGCGCGCGCACGTTCACACGCGCGCTCACCAGGCCCGGTCGTGTGAATTTTTCATTTTTTTTTTATATATAAAATGCGGATGTATCGGTACAATATTAACAACAGTACATAGTTTAGTTGCATAAAAGGGCTAAACAAAAACAATTTTTCATCTACAAAGTTTTGCAGCGACAAAATTTCTGTTTTCTTCTCAACGTCGTCGTCATCTCTCGGTTAAATTGTGCATAAAAAAATGTTACAAAGTGACGAGAACAACTGCTATAAACAATTCTTCCGTTCACATAATGGAAGTAAACTGCCGAAACGGTGTAACGGATTTCCTTTTTTTTTTAAAAAAAACAATAGGAAAAGAAATAGACTCCGAATATCCACGTGACATAGACGAGTAATTTGACTGGTTCTACGAATACGTCCGAATAAACACACGAAGATCCGGATGAAGATCTCGTTACCTGCGAGACGATTTTACCCGAATTTTCTGTAACTGTAGTTACGGGAACGAAGGGGGTTCGAACCTTCGATAATACTGTACAATGGAAACACGACGGGGGGAAACACGGAGTTAGAAGCCCGCGAAACTTACGTAAACGCTAACCTCGAAACCGAGTGTGGCCACCGGAGAGAGGAGGAGGCGGACAGACGACGTCGGGCGCGGGCCGGAAGTGACGCAAGCGGGAACGGAAACGCGTCCATCTTCCATTCGTAACGTGCGCGTTTCGCTTCGTTCCTCCGATAGAAATCTAGAAACGGGACAAAGAAGTTTCTCGTAGACAAAATTTGCATGCCGAACCATAAACCACGACATTGTTATTGTACCAAGTGTTTTTTTTCCTTTGTTTTTTTACTCGAAAGTGGTAAAAACGTTTTTTTTCTCTTTTCGTAATAAATACAAAACTCTACGAGTATATAATAAATGCGTATAAAACTCATTCGTACTAACGGCTTTGTTCTTCGTATACTTAGAAAGTGACGTAAGGGATAGTTTCGTTTTTTCTTTTTGATTATCAAAAAATGGCGCCGCTAGAGGCGCTCCAACGTAAATTTCGTCCCTCGTTTTTCGGTCACTCGAACCCAACGCGTCGTCGTCGCCGGCGCTCGATCCGTGTAAATGAATAAATAAACTAAACAATAATAACCCCGGATGTCCAAAAAACTCTAAAAAAATAAAAATATGCAAAGATGATTTTAATAATAATAATATGTATATATATATATATATATTAAGGAGCTGCCTAGAAATCTGTACACAACTCAAAGGAGTACGCAGAGAACTAAATCAAAAGAACAAAACAAAAAAAAATAATAAAGGGTGGTACACAGAAAATTAATGAATTAACGACGATACAACGTTCACGACACACATCGACACGGAAGCGACTAGTATCGATTAATGACTCGATTTCTCGTGCCTTGGCAATGGGTAAATTACACTAGAAACAAAAAGAGGGCAGGGGAATAGGTGCCGACGTCCGAAAGGATCTTACATTAAAAAAAATTTACAATAGATGCACGCAGAACGGACGACAAACAGACGGGCACGATTATAAAATCTAACTTGTTTTTTTTAAATAGAACTGCCATCCGAGTTTTTTTAGCGCTTGAATCGGCGACCGAACATCAAAAACTCGTCTCTTGAAAGAAAAAAGTTTAAAAAGAAAAGAGGAAAATTCTTCCCGTACGGTTTTTCCGGTCGTTTCCGGTAAATTAAATTGTATTGTTATCGTTTTCTTTTTTTTGGTTACAATATGTACACGGGGCGGCGCGCAGCGGCGGCGTCGACGCGGCGCGCCGGAGGGTACCGCTCCGACTTCCGCCCGCCGCCGGAAACGACCTTCGACCTCCGGCCGGGCGGAACCGGAAGGAGAGCGACGCGGAATTTCCGGAAGGGGCAGACGGGCGACGCTCTCTCTCTCTCTCTCTCTCTCTCTCTCCCTCCTCCGCACCTCCCTTCTCGTCGCAGACGGCAGCCAATTCGGTTATCTATTTTTTTGTTATTACTCGTTTTTTTTATCGTTTTTGATTCTAAGGAACTGCTCGACTCCGATCCGCTCCGCTCCGGGGATGGGTGGCTGCGCTCTTCCTCCGCCCGTTCTTCAGACCAGTCTGTCGCCTTGGACGCTGTGGTGGGTCGAAGCGGTGTGCGTAGAATGCTTGCCGGCCTGCACAAATAAAACAGAGACGTCAGCACGGGCCAGGAGCCATTTCGCGCGGGTCGACGCCATCGAAACGCGATAGAGCGAAATACAAAAGTAGTTAACAGCGATTCGATACCTCGTCGGGCCTCCTGTCTGTACCTTTGAGAAGTAAACCGTTAAATTCCCGTTCCAGTATCTGTCTTGCCTACAAAAATAAGAATACTTCTATTAGAAACTCTAAATAAATAAATACAGTAGAGCGTCGTTTATCCGAAAGAATTTCAGTCGGCAAATTTAAATATTCTCTACTGATGTGCAATCTTTGGCTACTCCAATATTTTTTTTTNGGACCAAATTGGATCTTTCAACAAGACAATGACCCTGTGCATGCCTTTAAATCAACAAAAATGTGGTTTAAACGTAAAAATATTAATCTGATGACATGGCCTGCTAGAAGCCCTGACCTGTATCCGATGGAAAATCTTTGGGGGATGATGGTTCGTACAGTTTATGCCAATGGAAAGCAGTTTTCCCACAATTCATGATTCGAAGGCAGCAATTTCAGATGCTTGAATTCCTTCAGAATCTAATTGAAACAATGCTTAATCGAGTATTTAATGTAATTAAGTTAAATGGTGGTTACATTGGCCATTAAATTGTAAGAAAACTTTGCAATTTGAAACCTGTCCAGATAAATATGTAACAGTTTTTTGTACAAAATTTTAAAAAAATATTATTTTCAGTGACAAAATGTTAATGTTTGATTAAAATTCTTATTTTGCAGTGTAAACAAGTAAATCCATGTTATTTTTAATAAAACATTTGTCACTTAATACAGCAAATTTGGGGTTCATTTTAATTTTTTCGTGTCCGTATGAATTTGAAACACACCTTAGAGCAGGGGTGGCCAAAACGTGGCGCATTGGACGATTACAAGTGGCGCTTCAGTTAGTTCTGAGCAAAATTGCCAGATTTGGCTTTTTTGCGATTAAGAATACTATATAGAAAAACAAATTGTTTTTAGTCTGTCTTGGCAAGTTCATTTGTTGCACAATTCGTAACAGTCTATTTTGCAGATAAAATGACTGTTCTCCACATAGTAAATTACAGTGTATGCACGTATTTTGAGTCTTGCGATCTTTATTTTCGATCAGTTTACAAGCGTGTAAATGGCCGAAAACATTTGTTGTGAGTAAAGTTATTCCAAGCTGATCTCGTTCTCAGTGCCAATAATTGTGGTGCAGAGTAATCTTCACCAAACGAGACTCTGGCAGCTATAGCACCATCATCAAGCAATCACCCTCTCNGATAGCATTTCAGACATTGTTATAAACATTTTTATATATTTCGACTTTTTTAAACCAAATGTTCGAACCATTTTAAATTCGAATTTGTTATTGGTTCGATTATAGAACGATTGTAAACGTTCCAGAAAATTGATTAAATTGAAAACGATTTGTTTGATTCTCAGCGGTAGGGGTTATATAACAATTACTATAGTTGTTGAAATACTGAATATAAATGTGGTTTGCTTGCAAAACCCCCGCGGGCGAAGTTTCTGGTAACAGCTAGCTTGAATACAATTTCCTGTTATTAGTATGAAATGGCAAAAGGCTTAACTTTGAGGGTAGTGATGAGTTTATATTTAAAAAAAAATTGGGAAACTAACAATAAGTAAATCTTCATTAAGACCAGAGACACGACTGATCACCCCTACACCTTTCACCAACAAAATAACATCGATGCCCCTTAAACATAAGCTACCGCGCCGAATTTCATTTTTTAGTCTTTACCCCAACCCGAGATATTCAACGGGAAATACCTCGACGCATGTACACACGTGACCGATGGACATTTATGGATTACGTCACCTTTCGTCGTCATTTCCGGGACACAACCCAGCCGTGGTGGAAGGAGTAAATTTCTTAGGCTCTACCCTCGCTGCTTCGCGGCTCGGGTCCCTTTTTTTTCTTGACCGACCCGCATAACCGACTGCAGTCCAGACGCCGTACAATTTTACGCGGGTGTATCGTCTCGTTCGTCGTCACTCGGCCGAAGTTCTAAGCCCTGGCGCTTTAGTTACGTAACTTCCGTTGCCGCGGCGGGAACGGAATGGCCGAATTTTGGTACGCGAGAAATTATTGGATGTGGAGGAATCTCGCAAGTCGCCGGTGTAATTATTAAGGGTTGGCTCCGCACGCGCTCGTTAGTGTTTTACCAAATGCAGTTTCGAATTTTCTTTTCGGATACATTTTTTTAGAAGCCAACAGTCGGAACTTCATCCGAATTTCGCATCGTCCTCGCTGTTTAAATACTACGTTTACACTACGAAAATCCAACCAATAGGAGACCGCTCCCGAAATATTAAAATTCGATGGATCTTTCGAGCCACAAAGAAAACGGCGGTACTTCCGGTTCCGTTCGACACCGCCGTTCTGTTAAATAAAAAGTGGACCGGAGCTTGGCCATTCGACTTCACGGTTTGAATTTCTAGTGTAAACGTAGTACGGAGTCATCCGGAAAGTCGCACGTGCGTGTTAAAAGACACTGACAAAGAGACTCGTACACAGTCCAAGAGGCAATTATTCATTGTTTCTATCGTACACTGCCATAATAACACCAATGGCAATAGCGAGGCTATCTGTACAGAGACGATGGAACATAATAAATCCTTTTTTTTTATATTCTCGACTCCAAGTAACACGTCATCGAATTCGACCCGGGTGGCCGACGCGGCTCCGGAAACCTGATATGCTTATCGACCGGGGGTGGCGCCACCCGCGCATTAAAAACAAACGGGAGAAAAAAAAAACAAAGAAACCGATCGATCCACCGACGTCGGAGAGTCGGAAGATCGCCCACGTCACACAATACGACTCGGGTGCCGCCCGGTCACGTGCTTTTTTATATACTACAGCCCGACGTCGGCCGAGAACAAAGGCCCGGCTGCGGTTATCTAAGCTCTGGTCGAGAAGAGGTTCGACCCGTTTCCATTATTGCTTCCTTCCTCGTCCCGGTCTTTTTTTTTTGTTTTGTTTTCGCACCTACTCGCGCGCGCACGTTCACACGCGCGCTCACCAGGCCCGGTCGTGTGAATTTTTCATTTTTTTTTTTTATATATAAAATGCGGATGTATCGGTACAATATTAACAACAGTACATAGTTTAGTTGCATAAAAGGGCTAAACAAAAACAATTTTTCATCTACAAAGTTTTGCAGCGACAAAATTTCTGTTTTCTTCTCAACGTCGTCGTCATCTCTCGGTTAAATTGTGCATAAAAAAATGTTACAAAGTGACGAGAACAACTGCTATAAACAATTCTTCCGTTCACATAATGGAAGTAAACTGCCGAAACGGTGTAACGGATTTCCTTTTTTTTTTAAAAAAAACAATAGGAAAAGAAATAGACTCCGAATATCCACGTGACATAGACGAGTAATTTGACTGGTTCTACGAATACGTCCGAATAAACACACGAAGATCCGGATGAAGATCTCGTTACCTGCGAGACGATTTTACCCGAATTTTCTGTAACTGTAGTTACGGGAACGAAGGGGGTTCGAACCTTCGATAATACTGTACAATGGAAACACGACGGGGGGAAACACGGAGTTAGAAGCCCGCGAAACTTACGTAAACGCTAACCTCGAAACCGAGTGTGGCCACCGGAGAGAGGAGGAGGCGGACAGACGACGTCGGGCGCGGGCCGGAAGTGACGCAAGCGGGAACGGAAACGCGTCCATCTTCCATTCGTAACGTGCGCGTTTCGCTTCGTTCCTCCGATAGAAATCTAGAAACGGGACAAAGAAGTTTCTCGTAGACAAAATTTGCATGCCGAACCATAAACCACGACATTGTTATTGTACCAAGTGTTTTTTTTCCTTTGTTTTTTTACTCGAAAGTGGTAAAAACGTTTTTTTTCTCTTTTCGTAATAAATACAAAACTCTACGAGTATATAATAAATGCGTATAAAACTCATTCGTACTAACGGCTTTGTTCTTCGTATACTTAGAAAGTGACGTAAGGGATAGTTTCGTTTTTTCTTTTTGATTATCAAAAAATGGCGCCGCTAGAGGCGCTCCAACGTAAATTTCGTCCCTCGTTTTTCGGTCACTCGAACCCAACGCGTCGTCGTCGCCGGCGCTCGATCCGTGTAAATGAATAAATAAACTAAACAATAATAACCCCGGATGTCCAAAAAACTCTAAAAAAATAAAAATATGCAAAGATGATTTTAATAATAATAATATGTATATATATATATATATATTAAGGAGCTGCCTAGAAATCTGTACACAACTCAAAGGAGTACGCAGAGAACTAAATCAAAAGAACAAAACAAAAAAAAATAATAAAGGGTGGTACACAGAAAATTAATGAATTAACGACGATACAACGTTCACGACACACATCGACACGGAAGCGACTAGTATCGATTAATGACTCGATTTCTCGTGCCTTGGCAATGGGTAAATTACACTAGAAACAAAAAGAGGGCAGGGGAATAGGTGCCGACGTCCGAAAGGATCTTACATTAAAAAAAATTTACAATAGATGCACGCAGAACGGACGACAAACAGACGGGCACGATTATAAAATCTAACTTGTTTTTTTTAAATAGAACTGCCATCCGAGTTTTTTTAGCGCTTGAATCGGCGACCGAACATCAAAAACTCGTCTCTTGAAAGAAAAAAGTTTAAAAAGAAAAGAGGAAAATTCTTCCCGTACGGTTTTTCCGGTCGTTTCCGGTAAATTAAATTGTATTGTTATCGTTTTCTTTTTTTTGGTTACAATATGTACACGGGGCGGCGCGCAGCGGCGGCGTCGACGCGGCGCGCCGGAGGGTACCGCTCCGACTTCCGCCCGCCGCCGGAAACGACCTTCGACCTCCGGCCGGGCGGAACCGGAAGGAGAGCGACGCGGAATTTCCGGAAGGGGCAGACGGGCGACGCTCTCTCTCTCTCTCTCCCTCCTCCGCACCTCCCTTCTCGTCGCAGACGGCAGCCAATTCGGTTATCTATTTTTTTGTTATTACTCGTTTTTTTTATCGTTTTTGATTCTAAGGAACTGCTCGACTCCGATCCGCTCCGCTCCGGGGATGGGTGGCTGCGCTCTTCCTCCGCCCGTTCTTCAGACCAGTCTGTCGCCTTGGACGCTGTGGTGGGTCGAAGCGGTGTGCGTAGAATGCTTGCCGGCCTGCACAAATAAAACAGAGACGTCAGCACGGGCCAGGAGCCATTTCGCGCGGGTCGACGCCATCGAAACGCGATAGAGCGAAATACAAAAGTAGTTAACAGCGATTCGATACCTCGTCGGGCCTCCTGTCTGTACCTTTGAGAAGTAAACCGTTAAATTCCCGTTCCAGTATCTGTCTTGCCTACAAAAATAAGAATACTTCTATTAGAAACTCTAAATAAATAAATACAGTAGAGCGTCGTTTATCCGAAAGAATTTCAGTCGGCAAATTTAAATATTCTCTACTGATGTGCAATCTTTGGCTACTCCAATATTTTTTTTTTTGTTGGTGTGTTTTTTAGCTGGCAGCACTGGCACATTTGTGTGGTGTTTTTCTGAGGACTGTGTCGTGCCGAATCAAACGTTTTTGATACTAGATCAACTTCTAACGTATAATTTTTTTGGTTTTTATATTTTTCAATATATTTATTTTGTTTGAAAAAATAAAGATATAATTTTTAACGATACAATAGCCACGATTATTATTTTAAAAAGTTTACGTTAAGCTGAAGATCGACGAAAATGAAACGCGAAGCGACACGCAACGGAGAAAATTTTCAACACGGGATAGGTTAATATATTTTTTCGTGCATAATCGGTTATCCGAACAACCCCACTTTCCCCAATTGATTCGGATAAACGACGCTCTGCTGTACAGTATATAAATTCGGGTAAACAGTAACGACAAAAATTCCGATCCGGATATATTCCCGCTATTATTATCGATTAAATTCCAAGTAATTAGGCACTAGGCGTAAGGCGCCGTCTGTTGCTAAATTTAATAATCACCAATAGGCTGAATTACCTGAGTGTTCGGAGTGGGAATCTGAAGTGCGAGAGCCATCGAATTGTGGTCGAAACTTTCGTCCAACGCCAACAGAGCACCGTGAATGCCGGATTCCAACAGACTGTTCGAATATTCTTTCAGTCCTATCGAATCGATCCATTTAATAATTCGGTCGTTCGACCAAACTAAGACGTCTGCAAACAAAAGAAAACAAAATCCTCAAATTCCTTTCTTCGGGCTTAAACCGCCAATTATTATTTAAACGTAAAGAAGGGGCGCTTGCACTCGAACATTCCCGTAACTTATTATAGGACGTCCCGGCCCCGCCGGAAGTGATAGTAGAAAATGCGAAAGACATTTATGGTAAGTTACAGGCGTTTGAAGTTTAAGTGGTGGTCACGCGGTGCAAGAAGTAAATCCGAGGATGTCTGAGATTTCCATCGAAAAATGAAGTCCGCCGCGCTGTGGACCGCCGAAACGCCATCCGCCACCAAACCCGTATTTTCTTGGGGAAGCAAAGTGTAATGCCACAGCCACGAGTTCGTGAAACACGAGAAAGGCAAAAGACACCCATTTTGTCTCTTATTTTAAAAGATATTTATTAAAAAATATCTTGGCTGGAATTTTTATTACCGAATGCAGACCGGACAGCGTCGTATTTGCTTTATACCGTGCGACGTGGCTAAGATTTTTATTTTTGCACGGTGGTTTTAAGTCTAGAGCTATCACGTACTTAATAAATGATAACATAAATACAGTTTTAGGACTTTATATCTGTAGCTAGTGGAGAAAAGGCCTGGTTTTGCATTAAAACAATATTTACTTTATGGTGTCGGTCGGGAACCAAGAAGTACTAAATTCTGGTTTATTTAAAATATTTTCAATAATGTTTTATTCTCGTCTTCGGAATCTATGCTAAAATAGAAAAAGTAATAAGGAAAAATGAAAAGTTTTCACTCTTCTGGAGGAAATTACCATTAAGATACATATATTTCATACAATTATACTTTACTTTTGATACTGTAAGAACAAAAATTAAGTTGAAAATCGAAAAAGCCAGTACGTAGCAGAAAACTTTGAAAGTTTTTACGTTTTTATTTTAAAAAATTTATAGCTATACACTTAATAATAATTATGTATTTAACACGGGAAAGTATTTGAATCCTGTCAAATTTTTCACCCTCCGGATCTTTTGCAAATCTCCAAGTTTTGAGATCCCTTGAACAAAAAAAAACATGTTTATATATATATATGGAGCTGCCTAGAAATCTGTACACAACTCAAAGGAGTACGCAGAGAACTAAATCAAAAGAACAAAACAAAAAAAAATAATAAAGGGTGGTACACAGAAAATTAATGAATTAACGACGATACAACGTTCACGACACACATCGACACGGAAGCGACTAGTATCGATTAATGACTCGATTTCTCGTGCCTTGGCAATGGGTAAATTACACTAGAAACAAAAAGAGGGCAGGGGAATAGGTGCCGACGTCCGAAAGGATCTTACATTAAAAAAAATTTACAATAGATGCACGCAGAACGGACGACAAACAGACGGGCACGATTATAAAATCTAACTTGTTTTTTTTAAATAGAACTGCCATCCGAGTTTTTTTAGCGCTTGAATCGGCGACCGAACATCAAAAACTCGTCTCTTGAAAGAAAAAAGTTTAAAAAGAAAAGAGGAAAATTCTTCCCGTACGGTTTTTNCAAAATTGTTTTGTAAAACCTAAACACCGAATGTATGTAAAAGTTAGTGTGTGTAAATTACCATTTAAGGATTTATACAACATGTAACTATTGTTTAATGGAATATTTCCAAAGAATATAAACATCGACATTGTTTCATTGTATTACGTTTTACGCTCATAAAGTTATTTTAATATTGTAAATAGAAGTACCATATGAGTGTAACAATTTAACTCAGGAGAAAAAGTGGGCGAAGTTCTTAAAGCACTGAAGAAAAACTAGAAAAATAAAACTAGCCCGAAATGCATATGTGAAAATACAATAAAGAAATTTCTTGACTTGCTGTAAAATAGTCTACCGAAGGAATTATTTCGGATTAAAGAGACAACCATTCACTGTACAATTTTAACTATGTGCTAATATGTCTTAGAGCTTCTTAAACATATGTAGTTTTTACTGGATTTTTTAAATAATTTTACTTAGGCTCAAAACATGATTTAGGCATATTTTCTCTTTGTCTAAACTGTTGTTAATTCTTTGCCACCTGGAAGGATATTTCAGTCTTTTTGGTTAAAACATCATTTATGTTTTTTTTTTTTTTAAATGAATTTAGATAGAATGCACTGTTAATACTCCTTTAGTTTCTGAGGCATTTTTTCATTGTACTAATTGATAAAATATCTGTTAAATACTTCCTTTTTAATGTAAATGAAATGACAGACTTCTAATTACAATAGAACAGAATGAAAAACAATATGAAATTTTAAGTAATGTATGAAAATTTCTGCTGTCAGCTTCCTTTATTTAAGTAACAATAGTAATGTAAAATATAGTCTTTTAATAAAAATAATTTAACATACCTTTAATTTCATTATCGCTATTCCTTCTCCTATCTTCTAATGCTTGTCTGTCATAATTTAGCCTTTTCAAACAGTTGATGCCATACTGTAGACTTGTTCTAAATGAAAAAAGTAAGATATTATAAAGAATGATACGATGCTCCAAAAATATTTTATGACCAAGAACGCACACAACTTAATTTTTCTGTATATCTATGCCGACGGTTCCTAACCTGGCATACACGCATCACCATGGTGATGCCAGAGTGTAAGAATGCATCTTAAAAATTCAGAATGCAGAGATAATTTTTTTTAAACTTATAAGGAAACACTTTGACTTCCCAGATTTTGCCAAAATTTTAGCACATTTTAGTAAATCCCATCCACCAATGTATGGTAATGTAACTTGTGCCAACAAACGATAGTTTAGGAGAAAACATTGTTTAAACTTTTTCACGTGCATTACATATTGAATTCTAGAAATAAATCATAATGAGTAGGTGTGGATGAGTGAGTGAGTGAGGCACTGGGTTAAAAACTCGATGTTGCAGATTTGTTCTGCTTTCTTCCAATTTTACAAATTGAAAAAAAAATTACAATAAATTATCATATGTGTGGCGGCCGCATAATTGTAACTAGCACTACAACTGAAAATCCAGGTGGCGCTGGCACGACAGATATATAAGCATATGCAGGCCATCCGCCATACTTCTTTTTCCCGACTTGTCGACTACTCTCCGGACGCGGGTTACTCTCATGTACCAACACGTGGACCTAACCAACCGTACCGATAGTGTAAAACGAGATTTCTATGTACATTATGTAAATAAAGCAAATGGTGAAATATATGACTACAGGTTATATATATATATTCTCAGCGAACACATAAACAGTGGTGCGACGAACGCCACATTGGTGAGCTGAACGTGATTTCTTGTTCCGAAGCTAATCCAACTACATCGGCTGCTCTTCATCGAAGTCTGGAAAACTAACAGGGCCGGAGACATTCATCAGCATTCAGGACAAGCAAGTAATAATTATTTTTTATTTTTACGTTTTTTCACATGTGCTGGAGGACAAATGTCAAACGACGACAACGGAAGCATGGCAACCTACGTGCCAGAAATCGCCCGGGTGGCGGTACGAGCCCCACCGTTCTGGAAGGCTAATCTGACCCTTTGGTTCGCCCAAATAGAAGCCCAGTTCGCAAACGCCAATATAACAGCTGACGAAACAAAATTTAACCATGTTATTGCGGCCATGGAGAGCGAAATCCTCGCCCAAGTGAGCGACATAGTCGTCCAACCTCTGACCAAAGATAAATACCTCATGCTCAAACGCCGATTAATTGACCAGTTCGCGGATTCAGAACAACAGCGGCTACGACTATTGCTTCAAGGCATTGAGCTAGGGGATCAACGCCCGTCTCAATTACTACGGAAGATGCAAGAGTTAGCCACAAACAGAATTTCAGATGACGTGCTAAAGACACTTTGGCTCCAGCGCTTGCCAACAGCCGCTCAGCAAATACTAGCGATAAGCGGCGAAGATCTAACAAAAGCTGCCGAATTGGCTGACAAAATTTGCGAAGTCACCGCACTGATGGGCCAGATTCATGCTGTGTCACCGCCGCCGACCGAGAACCATGTGGACGCGATCGCCCAGTTGAAGGAACAGATATCACAATTGTCCCACCAGATCCAGCAAATCACAGAGTCAAAACCCTACCGACATAGCGGGCATCGCAGCCTCCATTTTTCGTCTCCCCATCGAAACAGAAGCACATCAGAGGGAAGGCAAGTCTGCTGGTACCACCGGAAGTTCGGAGACAAAGCAAACAAGTGCACGTCCCCCTGCCAATTCCAGTCGGGAAACTGATCGGACCGTCACTCAAAGACACGGGCGACGGCCAATCTAGGGAACAACGGTCCTCGCCCAACACCTCTCCTAACAGCAGCGACAACGCCTCCTGGAGTACAACATCACCGTCTCCACCCACCAGGCCGTCCACATCCCGAAGACGGAGAACGACGAGGTCACTCCACGCCATCTTGGAAGATGACCACCCCTCTCAGAGCGAGCCCGTCTATAGTCCGACGGTCACACCACCTTCCTGCAGCAATGAGACCGGCCACACAGTGTGTTCCACCACCAACACAGCATCGCAACACCCAGTTACCACCGCTAAGGAACCACAGAAGAAAGTAAGGCGTTCTACCAGGCGCAATCCGAGACCGCCTCCTCCCTGCTTGGAAAACAACTCGGGCCCTGTCACCTCTACCCAGCCCGGCTCACCCCTAGCAGTGGACGCACTGCCAACACCACCAGGTAGGATCTCCCCTCATAACTCTATCTCTAACCTGCTCCTGCCTAGTAGAGAGGTCCACCGTGAAACACCACCTCCGACCATGGATCTACCTCCACCGCACCAGCACCCACAGGCGTCACCCACCGTCTCACTGCCGATGCAACCGCCCCTAACTTCCGAACAGCAGAAGACAGCTGCTAAGTTGACAACAGGAGCGACGACGCCGGACGACAGATGAGCACCGGTCGCAACCAGATCCGGTCGACGGGTCCGATTCAACCCGCGATATTTATGACGGGTTAACCGTAATGATATTTGTAACTATATAACGGTAAACTCCTCGTTGTCACTGGTGGGGGAGTGTGTGGCGGCCGCATAATTGTAACTAGTGCTACATCTGAAAATCAGGTGGCACTGGCGCGACAGATATATAAGCATGTGCAGGCCATCCGCCATACTTCTTTTTCCCGACTTGTCGACTACTCTCCGGACGCGGGTTACTCTCATGTACCAACAGGTGGACCTAACCAACCGTACCGATAGTGTAGAACGAGATTTCTATGTACATTATGTAAATAAAGCAAATGGTGAGATATATGACTACAGGTTATATATATATATATATATATATATATTTCAGGCCTTCTTGCACACATCTACAGCTTATTCTTTCTGCAATAGAAAGGAAGTGGATGAAAAAATTTATACAATGTCAAGAACTTATGAAGAATTTCAAAGCATCGCAAAGTATTCTATTATGACAGTTTANCCAGCCCGGCTCACCCCTAGCAGTGGACGCACTGCCAACACCACCAGGTAGGATCTCCCCTCATAACTCTATCTCTAACCTGCTCCTGCCTAGTACAGAGGTCCACCGTGAAACACCACCTCCGACCATGGATCTACCTCCACCGCACCAGCACCAGCACCCACAGGCGTCACCCACCATCTCACTGCCGATGCAACCGCCCCTAACTTCTGAACAGCAGAAGACAGCTGCTAAGTCGACAACAGGAGCGACGACGCCGGACGACAGATGAGCACCGGTCGCAACCAGATCTGGTCGACGGGTCCGATTCAACCCGCGATATTTATGATGGGTTAACCGTAATGATATTTGTAACTATATAACGGTAAACTTCTCGTTGTCACTGGTGGGGGAGTGTGTGGCGGCCGCATAATTGTAACTAGTGCTACATCTGAAAATCCAGGTGGCGCTGGCGCGACAGATATATAAGCATGTGCAGGCCGTCCGCCATACTTCTTTTTCCCGACTTGGGTTACTCTCATGTACCAACAGGTGGACCGAACCAACCGTACCGATAGTGTAGAACGAGATTTCTATGTACCGTACATTATGTAAATAAAGCAAATGGTGAGATATATGACTACAGGTTATATATATATATTCTCAGTGAACACAAACAGTGGTGCGACAAATGCCACAATATGTTTTAGATGTTATATCTGAAGAACAATTTAAACTTTAGCTTTATAGTTAATTGTATTTCTCACATAATAACAACTAAAATGTAAGTGGTTAAAAACTTATTGTAATTTTCCAAATACATACCTATGGAAGCTGTCAATCATTTTCAAATGAACCCGCAAATCTTTTTTGGTAAGATGATCTAGCATTCTGGCATCCACCAGACATTCCATGAAGGTGGAACGATACTGTGGAAGTCCTAGACTAGGCAGCCATTCATTTCCTATCCACTCATGATTCATCTCTCCAAATGCTAAACTCTAATAGGAATGAGATATTTTACATTATTAGATGCCAATGACAAAATGGAAAGAAAAAATTGTTTAAAAATACCAAAACAAACTTACAAATAAACCAAACTTTTGCCGTAATTAACTGGGCTAGTTTTTGCTATTATTAATAATTAGATATTAAGTAATAGTAGATGTCAATGTTAGGTGCCATCTCTTAACAAAATTAAATTATAATAATTATTAATCTTTATTTAATAATTTTGGAAAAATAATCCAATTAATTATGGGGACAGTTTGATTTATTATTAATACATCTGGTTTGGTGATGTTTATATATATATATATAGACAAACTTACTGTTCGTGTAGGTTTTGGAGCCGAAGGACTCGTGAGGGCAACCATTTCCTGAATGGCCAAACGGAGTTTGAGTCTGTGCAGCGGATTACTAATTCCTATCTCTCTCTGGATTTCCGTGTCGGACAGCGCGGACATGATGGCTCCGCTTTTGACGTTCGCTCGACAGGCAGCCACGTACCAGGCGGGCATGCCGACCCATAACTATGTTAAAAAAATAATATTAACTCTCACGTCCCCAAGAAATTATATAGTTAAGGCTCGATTCTTCAACAATTAAGATTAAATAATCTTCAAAAAGCATGAAATACTGTCATGTCAAAATATATATCCTATTATATTTTCAAAGCACAGAAATATACAGGGGTGTTATAATTAAACTGACAAGACTGCATAGAGAAGAATGTTCTTGACAGATCACAATGAAAATTGATGATTACCTTAATAAAAACACAGGGAACAAAATTTGCAATAAAAAATTTATTTCATTGAGCAACATTGGTGTGCTAAAACATGTTACAACGTACTAATATCTTGTGAAATCATCTGTAATTGCTAAAAGGAACCACGAGTATCTGCAAGAACTAAGCTTTGCTAGCCAAACTCTTATCAAAATATTGTTGGGGGCACTGCTTGCTGCAAAGAGTGTTAGTGAACTTTTTGGTATGCTGCTTTTGGATATTAAAATTATGGGAAATATTGAGTTTTGGATAATTGTGTTTGAGTTGTTGTTAATATTGAGTGGGATAGAATTAATCCTGGTCCTGTTGATCGTATTCCGCCGCATTCACAGATTCACAGATTCAATCGTCGGCGTCTACAGTAAAACGACGTCGCTCTCTGAGTGAACCTTCTTTGAAGTCGGCGAGACTGGAGGATTTTTTCTCTTCAAAGTTAAACTCAAGTAAGTCTATTCCTAAGGAGATTATTTCATATTTGGATGACCAATTTGATAAGCTTTTTTCAATGCTAAACAAGGTTGTTACAAGGATTGACTGGTTGGTTAATTTACATAATGAACATGACCAATGATTAACCCAATTGGAGGTTAAACTAGAAGAAATTTCCAAACTTAAAGATGATTTGCAACTGAAAAATAGTTTAATCTTGCATTCTATAGACAAGGTGTCGAATGAAATGAGAAAGAAAAATATTTTAATTAAAGGTTTGACTGATGATAGTTCCGATTTGAATAGGAAAGTGCAAAACCTGTTTTATAAACCAATAGGTGAATCAAAATCAATTCCAACAGTTAAGATAGTGGAATTTAACCAATCAGATACTGTATTGGTGGAATTAGTCATTTGCAGACAAGAAATTAATTTTTAGTAATGTTAGAAAGATAAAGGCTAATGATGCATTGAAGAATATACAAATTTTTGATGATTTATTTTGGTGTTCAAGACTGAGACGGAAAAAACTTCTGCCATTTTTACATGATTATAAGCTGAAAGGCAGGAGAGATCTACTGATAGATGATGTTTTGCAGGTAGGCATTGAGAGATATACTTACAACCTAGATAGAGGAGAATTATTAAAACTTGATTTTTTAGTGGAAAATCGAATGGCAAATTCTCAAAATCTTCACTCTCCGAACCAAGGAAGTATACAGTTGGAATGAAAGTTTCAACATGGAATTCCCAGAGTACCCTCGTAACTAATATGAATGATAGTGGTTTTGTTGAACATATTTCTAAAACTGATATTTTGGGACTGACCGAGACTTGGTCTACAGATCCACTGTGTTCGAGAGTTAAAAGCATTGACCATAGATTAAAAGTTTTTGAGGTAATGGCTAGTAAAAGTTTAGGAAGAGTTAGACCTTTGGGTAGATTACTTTTAGGTATAAACGAAGACCTGGGAGAAGTAAACTTGCTGCTGTCATGGCAACATATAATGGTTGTTAGAGTGAAATTTAACCACAGATAAAATGATAGACTATAAGAAATGAGTTATATTGGCATATCGTCATATTCCTATCTTTAAAACTTTAATTGCAAAACTGGAAGATTTAATTTCTGATTATATTTCATATTATGATCTTTTGCTGATGGGTGATTTTAATGCACGAATTGGCTTGACTATGTACACTATTGATCATGGGGATGTAATTTCAAACACCTGACTATCAAATGACAAAATAAAGAGGAAATTTACTTATTGAACTAGTAAAATCTTACAATTTATACATAATAAATGGTCAGTACCCTTTCGAATTACCAGCAAACTTCATCTATACATCCAAACTGGGTGCTTTTGGTAATCGATTTAGTGATTTTGAGCAAGAGTCTGGTAGAGTTTGCATAAATTTTTTGTTTCTGAAGTCTGATCATTTGATAATTTCTGAAATTCCAATAGACACTGACGAGGATAGAAAATCTAACTTGATTGACAAGAAAAAAGGACTAATCTGGAAAGAAGACAAATCCAGTTTATATTCTGAAACAGTTTTGGCTAAATACGTAAATATTGTCTTAAGTGATAGAATACAGGAGAGAGATTCTGTGATTCTAGATTTAATTAAGTCATCAACTGAACAATGTAGAATGACAACATACCTGAGAACAATGAAATCACTGTCTTCAGTTTGGTTTGACAAAGACTAGAATGGTGAATAAACTAAAAAACAGGATGCTGAAGAAATTTTGAATTTCTCATAATAATGAAGTTTTAATAAAATATTGTGATTTTAAAGCAATCTTTCGTTCATTATGCAAGACTAAAAAGAGGAATTACTGGTCAAATATTAGCAGACAGTTGCAGTCTGTGTGATCTACTATACAATTTTGGTCTATTCTTAATAGATTTAATAGGAAAAAGAAATCTGACAATCAAATTCCTCTTCACTACTGGGAACGTTTTTTAGAATATAACTTTTGCCATCCAAGTTCTGATTCAATTCTTGATTTTAACCGTGATAATTTCTCTATTTTAGATGATCCAATTTCACTCTGAGTTAAAAACTTCAATTTGCAAACTTAAAAGAAAATCGGCTCCTGGTATGGATGGTATAAAAAATGAATTCATTATATACCTAACTGATGAACAAGACATAAAATCTATTAGATATTTGTGGATTTGGAAAAGGCTTTCGATAGAATAAATTTTAATATTTTATGGGAAAGTTACATTTATTGGGAGTTTCAACTTTGTTCGTTAAGCTACTTAAAAATCTATTTTGTAACACAAGGTATCACGTGAGAGGAAATCTAGCAAATACTAAGGATGTCATTTCTGGTGGTGGTTTGCCTCAGGGAAACCTTTAAGTCCCCTGTTGTTTATATTATTTACCGCAATTGTTTTCTTCCTCTGAAACTACAGGATTTGCTCTTGGAGAATCTGTTGACTTGCATTGCTTAATGTACTGATGATGTAGTTCTTATGGCAGATTCAAAAATGGGTTTGCAATGAAAACTTTCTTTGCTAGTTAATTAAGCAAAAAGAAATTATCTCACAGTTAACTTACAAGAAACGAAGGGANAATTACTGGTCAAATATTAGCAGACAGTTGCAGTCTGTGTGATCTACTATACAATTTTGGTCTATTCTTAATAGATTTAATAGGAAAAAGAAATCCGACAATCAAATTCCTTTTCATAACTGGGAATGTTTTTTAGAATACAACTTTTGCCATCCAAGTTCTGATTCAATTCTTGATTTTGACTGTGATAATTTCTCTCTTATTTTAGATGATCCAATTTCACTCTGAGTTAAAAACTTCAATTTGCAAACTTAAAAGAAAATCAGCTCCTGGTAGGTATATAATGAATTAATTTTTTATAACATCCATAACTGATGAAATGTGTTTAGAATTACTCAACCTCTTTAACAAGATTAAGAAAACATCGAAATTTCCTGAGCATTGGAAAAATGTGTTGTTGCAAGTGATTTACAAGAAAGGAGATAAACTAAAGCCTCAAAACTATCGTCCAATAGCGTTGTTAAATATCTTTAAAAAATTGTTTGCCGGAATTTTTCAAGGAGCATTTGTTAGAGAAAGAGGTACTATGTACAACATCTTTATACTTAATGGTTTAATACATTATGTCCTGTCAAGAAAAAGACGTAAAATCTATTAGATATTTGTGGATTTGGAAAAGGCTTTCGATAGAATCAATTTTAATATTTTATGGGAAAAGTTACATTTATTGGGAGTTTCAACTTTGTTCATTAAGCTACTTAAAAATCTATTTTGTAACACAAGGTATCACGTGAGAGGAAATCTGGCAAATACTAAGGATGTCATTTCTGGTGGTGGTTTGTCTCGGGGAAACCTTTAAGTCCCCTGTTGTTTATATTATTTATCGCAATTGTTTTCTTCCTCTGAAACTACGGGATTTGCTCTTGGAGAATCTGTTGACTTGCATTGCTTAATGTACTGATGATGTAGTTCTTATGGCAGATTCAAAAATGGGTTTGCAATGAAAACTTTCTTTGCTAGTTAATTAAGCAAAAAGAAATTATCTCACAGTTAACTTACAAGAAACGAAGGGAATGGTTTTTCACAATGGAGGCAGACTGCTTAAATCTGATAAGATATTTGTGAATAATACTGAAATTAGTTGTGTGTCATATTTCAAGTATCTAGGAATAAATTTTTCTTCTTTTGCTGTGTATAATCATCATTTTGATTTAATAGCCAAAGACATACAAAATAAGACAGCCTCATTCGTTCCTGTAGAGTAAGCATATAGCCTAAGTTCTATGAGCAGTATCTTTAAACTTTTTGATGCTTTTATTGGTGTTCTAAGATGACTTATTTATTTCCTGTCTGGGGACTGGAGTTTCTGTCTAAAATAGAAAATGCACAGATGAAATATTTTAAGAGACTCTTTAAAATAGAATGTTCAGCTTCAAGCTCTGCAGTTAGTCTTGAATTGGAAAGACCTCCATTGGAATTGAACTTTGTCAAGGCTATTCTTCTGTTTTGGTCAAAAGTTATGGTGTTACCCTTGTACGATTTCTGCCAAATTACTTATAATGTTTTGTTAACAGCAGTCAAACTCGATAAGAAAAGTTAGCCTGCTTCAGTTACGAATATTTTTGATAGCTTGGGTTACTCCTTTTTGTTTTCAACTCAAATTATTAATATTAAATTAAATTAAAATATTGTCGACAATATTCACAGCTGAAAGATTTAAGGAAAGGACTTTGTCACTAAATGGAGTAAAGAATATGATACAAAAATTTGAAAAAACAAATTG